GTTCATCTGGCATACACCCGTTTGTAAGCGTACGTCTGTGATCACACCAGCTCATCAAAACTATGGCCTCCTTACGTAAACGGTCCATATTTGAGAGTGAGTTTGTTCTCCTGCTGGATTTACGAATATTTAGGGGTAAAAAGGTAGCTATGCTTCTTGACTTCACAATACTCGACGAAATTCAGGCATATGATCATTTCTTTTCTAAATAATGCTTTTACTTTATCCTGCTAGTTCTGCACTGTTTTTTTTTTCAAATAATCAGCAGGCATGCATCATAAATCAGGAATAATTCGTTGTTATTCCTAGGTTCTGCGTCATATGTTTGATCATGAGTAAATATAATAAATTGAATTGCCTTGATACCTACAGTATACCTACGTACGAAATTTTGATACATGAGTTTGAAACAAGGAAAATAGTAAGCTAACTAAAGTAATAATACTAATTTGTAATATAATTTAGTTTTTGCAATCTAAAGGATTGGAAAAATTTTTGAACTACAGAATTACGCTCTTGCAAGTTTTTGGTGTTCCAATTTTCTCGAGCAAAAAAACGAAATGGTACTAAACTACTCAAACAACGAACATGTATATCTAAAATGTCGTGGAACAAAACACAAGTTATAACAAAATGAATGAAGTCCTTCCTAAACAAAAAAGTAGCAGAATATGTAACCTTCTTCACAGAAAGCTTCACTCAGTATTTATCTAGATTTTGTTTTCAGACATAGAAGACCTCATTTCTCCGAAAACTTCACAAGCTTCAAATGCAATGGACAGAATGCAAGTAAGCTTTTCTCGATTTCTTTTATCACGTTAACATGATAATTTCAGTGTCCGCTGTGCTCGAAATCCTACCTCACATTTTTTGGCCTTCGAAGGCATATGCAATGCCATCAGGACGGTCGAGTAGATCAAACATGTGCTCATTGCCAGAAGCATTACAAGTAAGAGTATAAACTAAAGCCTTAAAATCTGTTTAGAAGGAAAAAAGTTGAAATCAGAGATACAGGCTGGTGGAAGGTTGTTTATCAGTATAAATTGTTCGCTATACAGTTCTGAGTCTCTCAACCTTCCCAAACTATGAGCTCCTCTATAAGTTTTCCTTAATTTCTTAATCTTCTTTCATCATTTTGACTCCCTATTGTACACAACTCCTGACTTAAAGAACATATTTCTCGCAAAGATCAAAGATGGACATCAGATACTGTAGGTGTAGTCAGCCACGAAAAAATGCTGAAGTTTTTTCCGATAGGAGCGCCTCGATTCGTCTTTTTTGGGTGGCAATATTTTGATGCAGGAGAGCACACCTGCGCGCACCTGCTCGTCTGGGTGTTACAAACGCAAAGAAAACCGGAAAGGAAACAGGTGCCGTGAGTGTAGCCGAACTTGATTTTAGTGATTTGTGGGGATTTTGAGTTCCTGTTGGGGGAAATGATAGCAAATTTCGACAGAATATTTGTGGAAATCGACTGTATCGTTTCTGCAGGTAAAACTTTTTTTTGCATCGCGCAAGATTTTGACTTTTTCTAGGTTGTAAAACATCTCTTCTAATAATAAATCGCTATTCCAAACTTCAAACATAGAATCAAATTATGATTTTTCTTTTGTAAAACTGTATTACAGTGCAGGCAAAGAGTCAAGCTAAATATCGCTTTTGGAACAGAAAACAGAGAATATCGTTTTGTGGCCGAAAAGACACGAAAAGTCGACGAAAACACTTTTCAATCGAGTTCTCGTTTTTTCGAGTGTTTTTCGGTGTTTAGGGTTCAAAGTTTGAAGGAGACCTCGTACAGAATTCTCAGGATCAAAGGAGACTTCGTTTTGAAATTTCCCTGGTGCCAGCTTGTGACGAGCCCTGTTCTAGTGAGCGGAACCCTCGATTAGGTTAATGGGCGGATCAGAGAAAACATGTTCTACTATATGTACTGATGACTTGTACTGATGTACACTTTCTAGTTGCTCTTTTTGCCCTTTTAACGTTCTAAACCCTTTTTACCAGTTTTGCAATCTTGGTGAACTTACCAAAGTAGTCGTTGTAAGTAGTTTTTTCTCATCATTATTTTTTTCAAAAGAAGATTACCTAAAATCACCCTACACATGATGTGCCGTACAAATCACGTATTTTCTTGATTATGGTGCAATTGATTTTGTAGTCAATTTTCCAACGATTAACACTGCTTTTGAATTGGTTGCTATCCCAGCAAGATTTATAGAACTCTGGAAGATTGAGAGTTACCATTTTGACCTCTCTCATGCACTATATTTCAGTCAACTTCATAGAAATGTATTATTAGGCGCACTCGACACATGTAGGAAACAATATACCTTTGCTATTGAGTGGCCTACTCGTTTGCATTCTAACTAAAGCATTTTTGAGTAAGTGAGTTCCGGATTTTCGTTCAAAACACTCCAACTGAACGATTGAGAGGAGCCTAAAATTAATTCGCTTAAGTTGTACTTTTTCAGATCGTCCGGTGCATTGAAGATGCATCTCAAAACGCATTTTTACCATGCGTTTGTGAGAAATGTGGAAAAAGCTTCAGTAGACCGTGGTTATTAAAAGGTCATCAGCGAACACATACAGGTATCTAGTAGCAGATTTTTCTCGTATAATTTGCTCAATAGTTTTTGAAATTGACTTCTATAATAGTGTTAGAGATATTTTAAGTAATTTATTGCTCGTTATAAAATGTCATTCAGGTGAGAAACCGTAGGCGGGGCGAAAGAAGGACGAAGAGGAGGGTCAGTGAGTTGCGGTCCTAGGCTCTCACTCCTCTTCTGCTTTTAGTTGGTCATGGATATGGAAAGAGACGTGGAAGAAGAGAAAGAAACTAAAAAGTCGCTTTCCTGTTGTCGGAGAAAGCAAGATGTGAAGAGGGTTTTAAGAAGAAGGGCTTCCAGAGGGTAGGGGGTAAGTGTGAACAGCTTTCGTTTAGACACAGATGCCTAATTTCGCGTTCTTCAGCGTTCAAGGCGATCTCGTTCGCGCAAATCTAGGTCTAGATCGAGAAAAAGGCGTAGCAGAAGTAGAAAAGGGCGAAGCAAAAAGTCCAGGCGATCGCGCAGAAGAAGCGGGAGAAGCAGAAAGAGTGGGAAGCGCGGTAGAAGCAGAAGAAGTCGCAGAAGATCAAGAAAATCAAGGAGGAGAAGAGGACGAAATAGAAAGTCGAGAAGCAGAAGGTCGAGAAGGAGAAAGTCGAGGAGGAGCAGAAGATCAAAAAGCAGAAAATCAAGAAGAAGAAGAAGAAGATCTAAAGCTGAGATCATAGCGGATAATCGAGAACAATTGACCAAGTCACAGAGCTTGACTGTTCCCAGCGCCAAAACTTTACCGGATAAAGACGCAGCAATAGCAAATTTGGAGGCTCCAGTCACTCCGTATTCACCGATGAGGAAGGTGGGTATTTGAAAAAGTAACAAGACATTTGATAAGTCCTGATATGTGATAGCGGTTGGCCCTCGAGCATCTGTTATCAATGTAGCTCGAGCGGTTGAAGAGACGTGAGTGTGATCATTTTGTGCGTGCTAATTTGGGCAATTTTTTGCTTAGGACTAAATTATAGTTCTTAGCAAGAGCGGAGATGTGTGCCATAAGGCTTTCCGAGGAGGAAATTTTTGGAAATTACAAGAACTAATATGTTGATAACGTGTTCATCTTCTTACCGGCAGTGCGTTCCACTTTTAGAGGATAGAATTTTTCTAGAAAAAAATTTCGAATCTGCATACTATCAAAATTGTTTTTTTTACTGTGTGATGACTGCTATTTCCCCGTGATCCACCCAATTTGAAATCAAAAACAGAAGGCCTCAAAAAATTACCATAATCTTGAACAGAATCGACAACCCCAAAAGGCCAATCTCTTTCCAAATCTCCAAACTGAGCCAACCCCCCCCCCCCCACCTTTTCGAGATATAGCTGTAAAACAAAATCAGACGAATAGTTTATTTTTATTTCTTTCTTTAACATATTAATTATTGCACGACAGTTCCAGGATAAAAGGACCAGACCGAGCCAAGACGTAAGTCGACAACATTTCTTTCATTCTTGCTCGAAAAAGATTAATAGAGTATTATGAGTTCAACCATGTTATAAAGAACGCATCTTGAATTAATAGAGCAAGTTAATTTCTAGCAAAGAATGATGTATTTTGAAGCCTCACGATAAAAAATTATCATCCAGCATTTAGGGGACTACTCTGAAAGCTGCGCAACCGGTTATAGAAAGAGATGTAAGTTGCCCTCAACTTATAGGTTAAGCATTCATAGAACTTAATATTGCCAATGTGCCGTCCACACGCACATCTGTCACAGGCCATGCATTTCATCTTGATACAGCTCATATCAGTTGTTCGCGCAAGGTGATCCATCGCCGACAACCTCCTCTACCCTCAACAATCGTGACTACATCTTGCGGTCATAGCCTGCCTTAATTTAGCTCTTGCTTTTGGTCGCTAGCCGTCATATAACTGAGAGACGAGCTGTTTACAAATCTTTTGGTTCACATCACCTGAGACAACGGGGTAGAGGAACGAACACTTTAAATAGACATTGCTTCCTCGGACTGCTGGTGCTTTCGCTCTAATGCCGCATATCGTTTTAGGACCAGCATTCGGAGAGGCTGTGTCTAATTGAGGTGTTCGTTCTTTCACCCGGAACAAAGCCATCACATACCACGCCAAACTGCGCCATGATCGGCCTAGCAGCGGTAGCGGAAAACAGCGCATTTTGCGTTGCGCTGATCTAAATTTGCGTTTGCTGGCTGGCGGCATATCGACAGTTGCGGATAACGTTAAGCTGAGTTGCCAAGCCGGCGCTATTCCAACACCTGGCATTCTGGAACTGTTGCTAAATTCAATCGAGCAATACTCGTGTCACCTGCGATTAGCACGGCGTTACCACGACGCTGGCACGCATTGGAGCTTGCCACGCCCCCAATCAGGGACAATCGTAGACGTAGTCATAATGACAAGATGTTGACCAGGTACGATTCGAACCAATGCGTTCTCCAGACGAGCGTCCGAAGAAAGAAGACGATGCTCCGTCGACAGCTATCGACATTGGTTAGTTCTAAAAATTACCACACCAGTTATTGGAGTCACAATTTCTAGAGCAAATTCTTCAATATTGAAAAGATTTATTGACTCTGACTTTCCAAGCTAATCCTTTGAGAATGAATCTGCATTTTTTGTGAAATTCAAAAAATTTTTTTAGATAGTTCGATAAAAAGGAGACGCCCGAAGCCGCCAGCGTATCAGGCAGCAACAGGTGAGAGCTTTTAGTAGGCACAGCTCTGGCACGGCGCTGGAACGGCTCTGGAATGAGCAATTTTTGGAAGCTTGGATACTTTTTTGCAGCAGCAGCCTGCCTACGAGAACAAGACATGCGCCAAAGAGAAGAAGAGAGATTCATGAGACCACCTATGGAAGAACCGGCGGTAGAGGTATAGCAATGATTCGCATAAATGTATTATAAACATTAAAAATTTTCCTCTTATAGAAACCAGCCTTTCAACGTGTTCCCGATATGGTTCCTATCGAAAAAGGGATTGATCCAGGTTATCCTGCTCAACGTATAGTTATCAGCAAGTCAGTTTTCTGTCGTTAAAAAGAATCGCTTAGTGGTAGTAGTTTTACAAGCATTTTTTTATTTTGTCCGAAACGGGTGCCATATCAAACGTTGGCTATATGAGGAGAGTTACTCACTTGATGCTCCAAGGCCTTCAATTTATGGTTTGACAGGAAAAGACAGACAGTATGTCACACTTATTAGATAGCTAAATGCGGCTCAAAAGCAGTTTGGTTTGATCCGAGCATTTACTCCCTCGTTCTGAAAAAACTTTAGATTGCTAGATTTGGTAAAAAAACAAGGTTCTTTCCAATTTGAACGATTTTTCCTCTAACTCTTGAGTTTTTACAAATCTGTAATCAAATGAGCTACAAGAAAGACATTCTGAAGGCAAAACTAGTGGGAATTCCATCAATCCTCCTCGCAAACGGCAATTCATATGATTCTCTCATAGCCATAAAAACCTACTTTCAACCTCTGCCCAGACCGTACTTTTTCCGAGGCGACCTAGCGACTTCTAGTACGGTAGACAGAATAATGTGGGCAGAGTTTGGATTTAGATTTCTGGGACAAGAATTATTATATAGCTACAGCCTGGGCAACAGCTTAGTTGTCTTAACTTATAATTTCCATATAAGAGACTAAGTAGCAGCTTTGCCTGGCTCTATATGTAAAGTGTACACCTTAATAGATTTATTGCTGCAGATATCCGAACAGCTGTTGTGGAAGAAGAGGTTTGTGTTATGGATGCTGTGGCAGAGGTTCTACGTCAAAGGTATCTCATATCAAAACTTTTTCTGCACCCTATGACTTGTTCAATTTCAGCAAAGAGGTTACATACAAGATAATTATGAAAATGATCGCATTCGAGGAGAATTACAACGTCTCGATGTAATACTGAAGAATCTCGACGACTAACAGACTCACAAGAAATGCATCTTCGTTGTACTCACATAAATAAAGAAATGTCTAAATTACCGTTTTAAGCATTAGGTCTCATATGCTCCACATTTTGTTTTTCAAAATAGGCAGATCCTCTTCAAAATTTGACAATGACAGACAATAATCATTAGTGACGTTACCGATTCCAAACATACCGCGAGCGAACTTTGACCATTGAATCACTCTCATTTTTGCGTGATTGTGCTGTGTCCGAAAGTGGCATTAAAAGTAAGAGTGATTGCAGAAATAAAATTTTTTGTAAGTGACCAGTTTTCGGTGGATGGGCCCAGTTACCAGTCAGTCAGCAATGCTCTAGTAAGCAAAGTGGTTAGCCAACATATAGGATTTGACTTGGCAAGATAAAAAGTTGTACTTCCCCCGAAGTGAATTTCGCCTATTGGGGTTATCTTTCACATTCTAGGCACTTGGAGCATTACCGCTTACACTTTCTCTAAGATATAAACACCACAAAAATCTCGCGTTCAAACTTTCAGGTTGTCTGACGTCGTAGTCTTGAGATCTGGCTACACAGATGAACTGTGGGAACATTTCATTACAATCTATACTTGATCTTTTTGAATTCTCGAGATTCCTGTGAACAGGGTAGACGTCTACGTGAAAAAGATCTTTATATACCATAAGACGTACCTGGGTACGTGAGAAAGGAATTGTACGGTTGGGAAAGGTAAAAAGAAATTAGTGAGTTACTACGCGACTGCGGCCATTAAGTTATGCCAGTGGAGGACTACCTTATTTTTGGAAAAAAAAGTTGAGTTGCTGCATGAAAGAGATAGGGGACCTTCATGAATTCGTGATGACATATTCGACTGCGGTCCCTTGAACCTACAAGCGTCACAAAGATGGGTATCATGTACCCGCTCAGACAAATGACCGGAACTTCCGCAGAGCGCTTGCGGAAGTTCCGCGCCGGGTCATCTGCGGAAGTTCCGAAATAAGGCCCTGGGGAAGTTCCGGTGATTTTTCTGAGCAGCTGAGGGCGAAGGCTTCGCATCTGTCAATTTGTGGTACATGCTAGACCCTTCCTATATGCTTCAGCAGCGAGTACCCCACAATACGTCTATTCTGCGAGAAGCTCACTTTAACTTATTTAAGGTATGGTATCGTTAAGAGTAGCAAGGGCCCAGCATGAGAGTGGCAATTGAACACCCGTAAAACGAAATCGCTTCGCCATCTTTCCGTTTTAAGATTTCGCATTTGATGGCTCCAGCTGCTTGGTCGTTCTATCAAACTGCCTTCCTTCCTTAAAAACACTGGCTCGGCAAATAGACCCTTTTCAAATTTCAATACTGCTAGCTGGTAGTCCACAAGCAAATCACAGACCCAAACCCATCCTTCAATTCGTGATCTACTAGTAAGTCCTAAAATTGTGCTCCAAACTACCACCATCGACGCCCACTTTACGTAAGTGGCAGAAATGGTAGAAATTTAAGGCACGATTTCAAGACTTGGCCCACGAGCTGGAAGATGGGGCTGGGTATATATGTACTTATGGGACCTACTAGCTAACAGTACATAAACTTGAGAAATCCATCTTGCCACACTGCCTTCGGAAGGAAAGGCATTTCCTTTTTTCTAACGAAAAGGAGAAGGGAAGTTTATAAGCCAAAATGTTGCCACCCTCAGGAAAATAAGGCACGCTCTTTATTCACTGATTTCTTTTTTTTACGTAACTTTATGTTTTGTTCTTATTCACCACTAACCATATAAACACCAACTTTGAAGCCATATAACAGCCACCCAGTTACCTGTGCGTTGCAAGCCGGTTTTTCAAGTTTTCAGTAATGAGAGAAATTTGGAAAACTTGTCACAATCTTCACACACAATTCTTCCACAATACTCTAAACCATGCTCCTCAGCCCTTGTTCGTCTATACATCAAATTCGGAGTCGTGGGACTCGTAAACGAGCAGTTAATCTCTATTCAAAGTTTGGGTTTTTGAAGATGAAGCGCGATCAAGATCGTGTTTGTGTACATTGGAGGTGTAACAACTTGTGTAACAACAACAAAGATTATTTTCAATTGCAAAGATTTAGAAAATGGCAGATCTACCCATGTGTTGAATTTAACCTTGATGGATTTATTTGATATTTTCGAACCTTGATAAAAACAATCTGAATTGCAGAGCATGTAAAGGTCTTGAAATCTCACATTAAAGATTACCGAATACGTGGTGTCGATAGAAGAATATGCCTACTTTTCAAATGCCCATGATCTACTTTTTGTTAAATGTCGAGGCACGTCTTTATCAGCGGGATACTTGCAAACATATCGCAACAAATATTCTACGTAAAGCATTCCATCGTGGCATCGTCTTTAACACATTCACGACAATACCCACCGGTGGGTCGTACGTGTCCTGTCATTTCGGACAATACGACCCACCGGTGGGTCGTATGCTTACCGAAGTTTTTGATTTTGCTAGTTCACGGTGAAGCTTTTTAGACAAGCTGAGTAAACTTCTCCATACACCTCTTGAAGTACTTCCCAAAAGTTCAACACTTCAGACCACAGGGCCCATCAATGATCTGAAAATATTCCGCAAACTCAATTTTGCGAAATATGTTTTGGTCCGAAATGGCAGTCAGCAAAAAAATCGGCCCTGTCGTGAATTTGTTAATAGTACAAACAAAACTTATATTTCATAAGTGAACAATAAATGGAGTCTGGCGTTACTCGGCTCTGCAACGTGCAACTTCCATAAAGAACCATCCATTTTCCTTGTAAAGTCTTAAAAACTTGTACGATAAATTCAGACTTATTGCCTGTACTCACTTTGCATATTTTCAGCCTTTCCATGGATAATCCGCAAAGCGTTGTCTGATTCTTTGCATGCCAATTACAATCATCGTATTAGGAATGTTGCTGTTGGGAATGCAAAAAAAGGACAAGAATGGCACTTTTTTTGGAAAGAATATGCAGGTTGAGTTGTATGTAATATTAGGCTTTCTGATGCCACTGATTTGCTATCGCTTGCAGCTAACAAGAAGATTGTTCCGAAAGCTGGGAGCGTGAATTCGCAGTGGGGAGGACTCCGCCCACTTCTGATTTCGCTCCCATGTTAGAGCCCTTTTTCGCCGTTTTCGCGCTTTCTAGTGTTGATTTTCGGATTCAGCATAGTGAATAGGCCCGGGTAAGCACAAAATCTCAAAATCGATTTCTTGCCCGGACACAGCCTTTAAGTCGTAGTCTAGGTAATGTTTGGAGCAAAAACTGGAAAAAAATTTATCCGAAAATTGAATTTTTGGTAAGAAAAAGCCTACAAACTAACTTAGCCATTACGCAGAGAAAGAGTGTAGTACTCAAATATGCCTTCAAGGGATTTTTTCCGCATTTGGAAAGCGAGAAAAAGGAGATGGTCTGAAAATGGCGAACTCCGCCTCCAGCCTCTCCACAATATGTCATTGTACACTGCAGGCCTCAATAAACATAATAATAATAATATAAATATAAATATAATACTTTGTTTGTGACGAAATAAATACCAAGTTTATTATTTTAAAAAACCAAAAACGTGACATGTTTGCATCTTCGAGCTATTTTAACTCAATTTTGAGCCCCGAATAAAATCCACCAAGTATATTTTTAAGTGCTAATATGTGCCGTATAATAACCAAGTTAAAGGCCCGTAGAGATTTTCCGGAACGAGATCTGATTCTTAGAATAATTGAAAAAATTTTGGATGTACATTTCACCTAGATCACGATTTAGACAAATCTATGGTGGTCGCTTTGTAGAGCTTACTTCTTGTAGAGTTGCAAATATCTATCGACCTATCTACAATGCTCCTCCAGATGACGACCGGCACCAAACGCTCACAACACTTTTCTTTATATTGACACTTCTTCAGCATAGAATACAGATAATTTTGTCTGGTCTTCGTGGCTGCTCGTAAAATGCGTTGTTCAAGCTCTTCTACTTGTCGGTCCTCTTTCTTCAAGCCGCAGACTTCATGTAGACGTTTGTTGGTGACAAACTTTGGTACCACATGAAAGCGCTGGCATCGATGGAGGGCATCGATGAAGGAAGTAAATGCCTTTCTCGAACAATCTTTGTCGCATCGAAAGGGCATCTTTCACAAGTCGGACGAAGTTGGCTGGTACAGATTCGATTGAATTCCAAGTCCGACCGTCAATGAATCTTGGCACATCTTGATCAACTTTAGTAGATGTTGTTGCAGCTGAGCCAAGATTGTTACACAACCTTTATTAGGCTAATTTTTCGGCGTCTCCGCCTTCTTCAGAGCCTGTAAGGACAATGATATTTGTGATCTATCCCTCCAAATGCTCTATCTCCACCACATCGTTACAACTCAATAGTCGACAGAGCCAGAAACAAACGAGAGACGCAAAACAGTTAGCGCTTACCTTGCAGTCAAGAGTAAGCGACCACCCACGTGAAGCGCCGCTGCTATGATATTGATATATTCAAATTCCCCGCCTTGACCCGACCCCGACCCAGTAGGTCAAAACCCACAAAGGGTCTGGAACGGTGCTAGCTCGTTTGTAACGGCAACGCATTCTTCCTTTCTATTATTTGGATTTCGCGATGCAATCCAAAAGGCCTCAAGAGTTTTGCGAGCTATTGTTTGGGGTTCGTGCGATAATATTGTAACAGCCGTATCAAACGTATCGTTTTCATGACACAGCCCGCTGTGAGCGCCTAGAGGTGTTGCTGATCTGCCCTTCGCATTGATCCGGACGCACACCGGTTGCCCTGTTTCGCCCACGTATTACTCACCACACGACTGGCATGTGATGTGATAAACCACCCCCGCCTTCATGCAATCACCTGGTCTACCGTACGGACATACCACGCAATTGGGAGTCGTACAAATGTTATCGTAAGCACGATTGCGTACCAGCTGCTTCTTGAGATTAGAAGGAGGAATGTCTATATCTCTAACATATTCCTGAAGGCCTGATCTGCCCTTCG